TAAACTATATTTAGACCATTGCATGTTTTTGCCTCCTCTGTCAAATATTAATTGATTATAAAGGCATGAATTTACTTCTGGGTTCTCTATTCTGTTCCATTGATCTATGTGTCGGCTTTAATGCCAGCACTATACTGTTTTATTTTATATAGATATATTTTTTATCCTCACCTGAGTATATTTTTGCATTTATCTTCAGATAGAGCGGGAGGGAGGGAGAGAGAGAAACATCAATGTGAGAGACACACATCAATTGGCCGCCACCCACACGACTCCAACCGGGGCCGGGGACAAACTGCAAAGTATGCTCTCTTAGCAGGAACCAAACCCAGGACTCTCTGGTCCGTGGCCCAGTGCTCTAACCACTTAGCAAACCGACCAGGGCAACTTTTTTTTTTTTAATTCCTTTTTTACTGTTGAAAGTATTACAGATATCCCTCCTTTCCCCCCATTGACACCCTCCTCCCTCCCTCCTGCCTCCCACCGTCACTGCACTGTTGTCTGTGTCCATTGGTTATGCATATATGTGTACAAGTTCTTTGGTTTATCTCATCTCGTCCCCGCCCCCCATCCCCTACCTCTAAGGTTTGTCAGTCTGTTCCCTACTTCCATGACTCTGGATCTATTTTGTCTGTCAGCTTATTTTGTTCATTAGATTCCTCAAGTAAGTGAGATCATGTAATACTGTCTTTCTCGGACTGGCTTATTTCACTTAGCATAATTATCTCCAGGTCCTTCCACATTGTCTCAAAGGGTAAGAGATATTTTTCTTAGAGCTGCATAGTATTCCATTGTGTAAATGTACCACAGCTATTTTATCCACTCATCATGGACACCTGGGCTATTTCCAGATCTTATATATAATAGAGCTACTGCTATGAACATAGGGGTGCATGTTATTTCTGATTGGTGTTTCAGGCTTCTTAGGATATATTCTGAGAAGTGGGATCAATGGGTCAAATGGCAGTTCCATTTTAAATTCTTTAAGGAAACACTATACTGTGTTCCATAGTGGCTGCACCAGTCTGCATTCCCACCGGCAGTGTATAAGTACCCTTTTCTCCACACCCTCACCAGAACTTGTTTGATCATTTGTTGGTCACCATTCTGGCAGGTGTGAGGTAATACCTCAGTCATTTTAATTTGCATGTCTCTGATGATTAGTGACATTGAGCACACTTTCCTATGTCTCTTGGCCATTTGTATATCCTATTAGGAGAACTGTCTATTCAGGTCTTCCTCCCAATTATTAATTGGATTGTCTGTCTTTTTGTATTCAGTTGTATGAGTACTTTATATATTTTGGAAATTAACCTCTTATTCGATGTATCATTGGCAAATATGTTCTTCCATAGAGTGGGTTCCCTTTTCATTGTGATGCTGGTTCCTTTTGCTGTGCAGAAGATTTTTAGTTTAATATAGCCCCATTTATTAATTTGTTCCTTTGTTTCTCTTGCCTTGGGTGATGCATCAGTGAAAATTCTGCTATGTGTGATGGCTGAGATTCCATTGATATCTTGATAGGAATTTGTGTTGAATCTATAGACTGCTTTGAGTAGTACGGACATTTTAATGATGTTAATTCTTCCTACGCATGAACATTGTATATGCTTTCACTTATTTCTCTCATCCTCAATTTCTTTCTTCAGTGTCTTATAACTTTCCAAGTACAGAAATTTACTTCCTTGTTTAAATTTATTCCTAGGTATTTATTCTTCTTGAAGCAATTGTGAATGGGATTTTTCTTTAGATTCCCTTTCTGATAATAGATCATTATAAGTGTCTAAAAATGCAACTGATTTCTGGATATTTATTTTGTATACTGCTACTCTATTGAATTCATTTTTCAGTTCTAGTAGTTTGTTGGTGGAATCTTTATGGCTCTCTATATACAATATCATGTCATCTGTGAATCATGACAGTTTTACTTCTTTTTCAGTTTGGATGCCTTTTATTTCTTCTTCTTGTCTGATTGTTGTGGCTAGGACTTCTAATACTATGTTGAATTAGAATGGTGAAAACAAACATCCCTGTCTTGTTCCTGATCTTAAGAGGAGAGCTTGTAGTTTTTGCCATTGAGTATGATGTTGGCTGTGGGTTTGTCATACATGGCCTTTATTATGTTGAGGTATGTTCCCTCTATTCCCACTTTGCTTAGAGTTTTTATCATAAATGGGTGCTGGGTTTTATCAAATCTTTTTCTACATCTACTGATAAGACCACGTGGTTTACCCTTCAAATTTTTTATGTGGTGTATCCCCAGGTCTCTCTGGATCGCAGGCCGATGCTCTAACCGCTGAGCCAAACCGGCCAAGCTAATATTTCTTTATCCACTGTCAACTGGTAGCTAGGTCTAGCAGCTGGCTTTCAGACCCACCTGTTTGGAGACTACCTCAGAGATGCTGTGTGTGTCCTCCTGTATCACGTCAGGGGGCCCAGGTCTTCTTGTCTCACTTCTAGTGGGGTTGAGATTGATCAGCAGGCTCAGGTGTTTGTTAGTCTGATCCATTCATTAAATGCTCCCTATAAGTCTTAATGGTTGCTAAATTTAAAGGTTTTAGCAGCCATTATAATTGCCTAGATTCCTTATTTTATTCAGGGGTGCATACTATAATTTTATAAGTGTATCTTTGCTTTCGTTTTCAGTAGTTTACATTCTGTGATGAAGAACTGTCCCTCACCAATTATTTGTTTTTTTCTGAGATATTGTTTGTGCAAGAGAGACTGCAGCACATTTTTAAAGTGACACAGTTTGTCTGACACTCCAATGTGTCCTTTTTCTCATTCCAGCTTCCCAGTGCTGGGAAGATGAAGGTCCACTTTCGTCCTCTTTTACATCTGAAGCATAGAACTCTTAATGCATGACAGCGTGATCTCCTCTTATATACCTATGCTGAAATTTTACTAGTTTTCAAGGCCCAGATCCATCCCCTTCACAGAGTCTTCCACGATTCTCCACCTTGAACGTCGTCTATTCTTCCCCAAACTCCAGTCATTCCACACTTCCTCTCTTAGATGCTAGTCACTGTATATCTTTTTAAGAAACATTTCCTTTACTCTTTGTAAATAATTATTTAAGTATTTTATCTTCTTGCCTAGATTCCTTAGAAGCAGGGGCTTTGTTTGATTTAGCGCTCTATCTCCATAACGACTAGTGTTTCTTAACCTTTTGTGAGAAGTTAATAATTATTTAATGAAAAAAATCAATGAATTAGAAAAGAAGAAACCTTTAAGCCTTCACAGAAATGGACTTTTTTTCTTTTATTTATTATTAGTATTACTTTTTTAATCCTCACTCGAGGATATTTTTCTATTTACCTTCAGATAGAGTGGGAGGGAGGGAGAGAGAGAGGGAGAGAGAAAGAGAAAGAGGGAGGGACATATTGACTGGTTGCCTCCCGCACGACCCCGACCAGGGCTGGGGATGAACCACAACCGAGGTATGTGCCCTTGACCAGAATTGAACCTGCCACTCTTTGGTCTGCAGACCAATGATCTAACTGCTGAGCCAAACCAGCCAGGGCACTTTTTCTTCTTTTAAAGATGAATGGGGCTCTCTTGGTTACTCTTTTCCAAGATGACCAAGAAAAGAAAAAACAATGGTTGTGACAAAAGGGCCACGGCCATGTGCAGCCTATTAGCTGCACCAACTGTGCCCGATGCTGCCCAAGGACCAGGCCATTAAGAAGTTCCTCATTCGAAACAATGTAAAGGCCACAGACCTTGGGGACATTTCTGAAGCGAGTGTCTTCAAGGCCTATGTGCTTTCCAAGCTATATGTGAAACTACATTACTGTGTGAGTTGTGCCATTCACAGCAAGGTAGTCAGGAATCCTGCTGGAGCCTGGAAGGACTGAACACCCCCGCCCTGATTTAGACTTGTGGGCGCTGCCCCACGACCTCCATCAGAGCCCATGTAAGAGCTAAATCCCAAGGACTGAAGAAATATTCTCTGGAAGAAAACAAAACAGAAATTATACTTCAAAAAGAAAAAAAAAAGATAAATGGGTATGTTATAAATTTAGTATGTGTGGTTATTTTTAATAATTTAGAAATATGATAGACTTCTTTCACTAACTACTATTAAAAATAAATTATGTTGCCCTGCCAGTGTGGCTCAGTGGATTGAGCGTCATCCAAAGGACTGAGAGGTCCCACTTTGATTCCTAGTCAGGGCACATGCCGGGTTGTGGCCTCGAACCCCAGTAGGGGGCGTGCAGGAGGCAGCTGATTGATGTTTCTCTCTCACACTGATGTTTCTATCTCTCTCTCCTTTCCTCTCTCTCTAAATAAAAAGCAATAAAATAAATTATGTCAATTAACCACCTTTTCATTATAGTGGGATCCAACTGGATTGTAACTCTGTAACTAGCCTCCAATATCATATTTTCATTTTCTTCTAACATATTTTTCTTGTTTTATCTGCCTTTATTTTTTCCAGCTTTACTGAGGTATAATTGGCACATAACATATAAGTATAAGGTATACAATTTGTTGATTTGATATATATACTGCAAAATGATTACCACCATTCCATTAGCTAACATGTCCATTAAGTTATATAATGACCATTTCTTTTGGTGGTGATAGCTTTATTTTTAGATGCTATTTACAGTAAACTATGAGTGGTGTTTCTCTAAGCACCCTTAATCGTGGTTGTTGTAAACAGCTATTGCTATAAGAATGGTGGTAGCATATGCAACAATGTAAACATATTTCATTCACTATGAAAAATTGCACATATCTTTTGATTTCTACATTTTCAAAGAAATTATTTGGAATAGTCTTAACAAAAATCAGATGGGACATTATGTAAAATTTCAAAACCTAAACATGCAAATTTCAATTCTATACTTTGTGGGTGAATAATACTGCCATAATGCCAGTGTGTAACCATTTTAATGAACAAGTATTTTTGTAGGCTGATAATTTCTTAAACTTATTAATAAAATGGTATTATGTTTCAAAAATGATAGCAAAACAACAAAAACTTTTCTTACCAAGATAGTAAGCTCTTCATTTAGACTGTGGTACCTATCCAGTTTGACTCCCAACAGGGTAGGTGCATCTTTGACATTCTTGGCTTCATTTGAATCAAAGTCGGTAACCTGAGATTAAAAATTTGTGCTTACTTCCAATACTTTCACCCACCTTTGAGCATTTGAAAATAAATACTTTATTAGTGAAAAAATCAAAGAGATTTTCGGTGGCTAGGATAATAGAAGTAGGTATAGAACTTAAAGCTGGAAGGATTTTTAAAAATATACCAAAAGAATATAAACATGTGAAATTTCATTTTTGTATGTTAGACAGTACATAGTAAATGTTAAACTCACGTTAATAACCTGATCTTGAAATGCTTTTTCATTAGCAATTAACTCTCTAAAAGTTGCGATTCTGTCTTTATGTTTCTGTAGCTAAGAAAAAAAGTATTTTATATTTCAGAGAATGAGAGGAAATAAAACTACATTCTACAACATTTATAATAAAATCATTGCCTGGCCGATGTTGCTCAGTGGATTGAGCTTCGTCCTATGAACTGAGAAACCACCAGTTTGATTCCTGGTTGCGGGCTCGATCCCCAGTAGGGGGCGTGCAGGAGGCAGCCAATCGATGTTTCTCTCTCACATAAATGTTTTTTCTCTTTAAAATGAAAAATTAAAAAAAAAAAAAAAAAATCAAACCAATCCAATCTCTGGTCACCAAAAGATACACTGTTTTGTTTGTTTGTTTTGTTTTTACAGCTCTTATCCAGAAAAGAGTTCACACAGCAGGCCCGAGGCTGCTATCTCTAGAAAGGCCTGCTAGCCAGGCTGCCCCCTGACTGTATCTGGGAACTTGGATTGTGGGAGGGTTACCATCATTCCCAGATATGAATGGCTCATTGTGCCTAACAAAGAATGTGGTTTATGCTGAATACCTCTTTCCATCTGGGGGTCTGTAATTTTGCATTGTGCTACGCAGAAGGTACCAATGTGAAGAGCCCCCTGGGCACTAGGTCTCAAATGGGCTCCCCTGGTAGGCAACACTTGACACGTGTTGTCACAGCTCGCTGCTGGGGGACTGAAGCCCATTCTGTGAGACTCCACGGGAGAGGACTCTTGAAAGCTTGACTCTTGTTTCCTCTAGACTTTGCCCTATGTGCCTTTTCCCTTTGCTGATTTTGCTCTGTGTCCTCTCACTGCAATAATACATCACAGTGGTGAGTACACTATGACGAGGCCTTGAGTCCTAGTGAATCACTGAAACTAAAGATGGGCTTGGGATCTCCAGGGAGCTTATTCTAATATTCCATTGTTTTTACAGTTAGACTATTAAAATTCCTCTGTAAAGAAAAAAAAGCCAACTTTTTCTAGATGCAATTTATAATAATTTTATTTGTTCATTTGTTCCTTCAGTATAACAATACATCTTAATATCCACACTTCTCCAAATATCAGTGAAGTAAAATGTGCTGCACAGAATATTTTTTATCATGAACAATTTCCAGTATTTCTTAAAAGTAGAGAAAAAACTTTAACAAACCACCATGTAATTATCACCCAGCCTCAACTACTACTAGCTAATGGCCAATCTTGTGTCATTTATGTTCCCAACAACCTCCTTCTCTTTCTGCCCCCTTCACTGAATCAAATCACAGACATCATAATCTCATCTGCCAATATTTCAGGAATTACACAGAAATTTACCAAAAACAAATATCTGAAATTATACGTGTGTGTGTGTGTGTGTGTGTGTATTTTTTTTATCCTCATCCAAGGACATTTTTGCATTTATTTTCAGATAGAGCGGAAGGGACAGAGGGAGGAAGAGAGAGAGACATCAATGTGAGAGAGACACATCGACTGGCTGCCACCCACACAACCCCAACTGGGGCCAGGGACAAACTGCAACCGAGGTATGTGCCCTTAGCGGTAACTGAACCCAGGTCTCTCTGGTCTGCGGGCCAACACTCTAACTGCTGAGCCGAACTGGCCAGGGCTGAAATTATTTATTTTTTTTATCCTCACCCGAGGACATTTTTCCATTTTTTGTACAGATCGAGTGGGAGGGAGAGAGAGGAAGAGAGAGAGAGAGAGAAACATCAATGTGAAAGGGACACATCGAGTGGCTGCCACCCGCACGACCAACCAGGGCCGGGGACAAACTGCAACCAAGGTACACGCCCTTAGCAGGAACCGAACCCGGGTCTCTCCGGACCGCAGGCCGATGCTCTAACCGCTGAGCCAAACCGGCTAGGACTGAAATTATATTTTTTGTACCATCCTGCTCCAACCCTCAAGTGGTCTGGTTTAAGAAGTGGAGGCCAGTCATTTCTATGCCTGTTTGTTCCTTGATCCTTTTCTCTACAGGTTAGCTAGGACACATAGAGATCCCCCAGGGAACCTGCAACACATCTTCTATCCACCTCAGTTCAGAGAAGTAGTTTCCTGAAAATACAGGACTAAATTTGTTACAATGATCCAAGATCCCTTATTTGAATTTGTTTTTATTCCTTTAGCCAGATAAATTTGTCATCTTTGTATTCCTTTTAGATTAAAAACTACACAAGTTAACATCCTGTTACTATCTTCCCTATCTAACTCTCTTAATTTTATTTTCCAATCTCTGTAGTACTACATCAAAAAAAAAAATTGAAGAAATTTCAGGAACCTCTTCCTTTACTCTTGTCCCACATGAGAAATAAAATGATTTATTTTCAGTTTGCCCATATTTCAAGTGATAAACTTCGAAATCACTATAGAAATGTCAAAATACACTGTTTTTCAGGAATCAGTAATGCCATGTAAAAGTGAGAAAATAATATCAATATTTTGGCAGATGATAAGACTGTGTAATATAGACTTACATCATAAAACAAGTCAAATGTTGAACAATATATCTTCTTAGTGAGGGCCATAGTAAAGCTAATCTGGTCTGCAAAATCAATTCTTTAAAAAAAAATCCAAAATTTAGGTCTTTCTTTACATATTTATGTTACCTTTTATTTTGACTATTTTTTCACTAAAAATGGTACTATTTTTATTTTTATTAGTTTTTATTTTTTTAATCCTCACCCAAGGATATGTTTGTATTGAATTGAGAGAGAGACAGAGAGCGAGAGGCCAGGCATTGATGTGAGAAACATTGATCAGTTGCCTCTCTCATTTGCACAGACTGGGATCAGACCAGGAATTGAACTTGCAACCTTTTGGGTGTAGGGGACAACTGAGTCAAACAGCCAGGGCTATTTTTATTATTTAAAAAATGTTTTAAAATTTATTGATTTGAGAAAGAGAGAGGAGGGAGAGGGAGAGAGATATTTGTTGTTCCACTTGTTTACGCACTCATTGGTTGATTCATGTAAATACCCTTACTGAGGATCGAACCTGCAACCTTGATGTATTGGGACGATGCTCTAACCAACTGAGCTACCCAGCCTGGGTGGTACAATTTTTAGAACGAAGAATACATACAGTACCTCTTCATCTAAATTTTTCTTTTTAAGATGAAAGCTCTTCAATTTTTGTAGCATTGTATCGCTAACTTTCTCACTCTCTTTGACATGTTCAGCATCGGGATTGCTGATGTCCTAAAGACAACAGTTTGAGAAGCTTGATTAAAATTTTTTCAGTAAAGCTAAAAGAAGGAAGGAAAAAACACAAATGAAACAAATTTCCCTCCCAAAATAAGTGACCATACCAAAGGAGGTAAAATAATATTGACCTCAATTCTTCAATTACTCATCATAAGATATTCAATAAAGGGTTAGTATGAAAAGAATTCATATAAATTTACACTTGTATATAAATTGTTACTGGGACAGATTTATATAATCATTGGGAGATTAATACTCATTTATAAAACTATTCATGTTCATGCATTCATACATATAGCCCCATCTTAACCTAGTGAGTTTTCAAATCCAAATTTTAGACAAAATATTATAACTGAAACCAAAATAATCAGACATCCTCAACAATACTGAAACTCTAAATATTTCCAGGGTACCCAGAATTCTGTACCAAAATAACCCAAGGGTCTAAAGTGCACGCACTGGAGACTGCCTGGGAGATTTCTGCCAGAGTTCTGTCACTTTATCGTATGTGAGACTTTGGACAAGAAGTTTAACTATTCTAAGACTTGTTTGTTTTTCCATATTTGAAAAAAAAAAAAAAAAAGCAGCCTGATAATATAAAGAATGGTGTAAGAGATAATCCATGAAAAGCAGAAACAGTAAACTTAAACGGCTTTAAGGACAGGTTGAGAAGTCAGCTAACATTTGTTGAGTGCCTTTTAGGAACTTAACCTGTATTAGGTACAGGACATAAAACATACCTAGTTTCTAATCTTGAAGGCTTATGTTGTGGGGTGGGTGGGAGACACAGAATAAGCAAATATAGTTGGGTTTTTTTTTTTTTGGCATGGAATGAGATCGACTAAGAATATCTATACTTCATTATTGAGAGATCTGGTAGAGAAGCATCAGCCAGCAAATAAGATCAAGAAATAACAGTAGCTACCAGTGAGATGGAAGAAAACCAAGCAAATACAGTGAGTAAGCAAATGTCTGAAGGGCAAGGTGGAGTGAAAAGGTCTGTAGCCAAGAAGAGTTTGTGCCACAATCAGATTCTAATATTTAAAAACAAAACTTTAGGTAGATGCAGTCTGTGGGCCACCACTTCGTGATCTCTGCATAAAACGCTTAGCTCAGTGTCTAGCATTTAATAAATTTTAGTGTTCAACAAATTTTAGCTAAAACAAAACAGAAATAAGGCTGGATTTAGGAACATCACAAACCTATGCCACCAAACTTTGGCTCAGATGAATGCACTTAAGATTAAAAAAAAAAAAGTACAATAATAGAAGGAAAATGGAAGAGAGAGAGAGCTGGGTAATTTGAGAAACTTTAAACTGTCATGTCCTTTAATATGTTCTCTTATTAAATGTAGTGCTTGTAAGCTCCCAGGGCAGCAACAAGTATCATTTCCCTATTTACGATGAGGAAACTAAGACTGAGAAAGGTAAAGTTACTTGGCCAAGTCACACAGCCAGGAAGTGGTGAAGCCAGAATTCAAACTTACCTGACATTAACTTCATTTTTCATTCTACTAATGTACACAGCTCCATACTGCCCTCCCCTGCCCCAAAGCTATATTTTTAGTTGGCCAAACAGCTCATTAATGTGAACAATCACATCCCTGGGAGCAGACTGACCCAGAGTGTAAGATTACTGCTCTGAAAGACTTTTCCTGAAACATGGGAAGTACTAATGTTACCATTCGATAGACTTGTGGGAATCAGATACCGAAGAAAGGTAAACAGAAAGAAGTAGTGGGAGGAAGGAAAGGCTGATTGGTTGGTTTATGGGTCTCTATTTTGTCTTCCATTATTTTCTTTCATAACTTAGTTCTGTCATCTCACATTGCCTCTTTCAGTTTAAGTCTAACGTTGCTACTTCTTCCCCCTCCCAATAAAAAAAATTTTTTTTAATTGTATTACCTGGCATGTGAGAAGTCTTGCCAACTGAGCCAGAAGATAGTGAATTTTGAAGGCCTGCTGAGAAGTCCTTTTCACATCTAGGGGATTCAGGCTTTCTTCTTCACAAGGTGAGCAATTCAGGAACAAATCAGAATGTATCATCTTTGCATCCTGCGTGTACACAATTCATATTTGTCACAATAAAGACAAAGAATTTGGATTACTTTCAAAGTAAAATGCTGAATAAAATACCACTTCTAAAAACTCTGAATGTTGGTTCTCAAACTTTTTGATTCTCAGGATCCCTTTATACTCTTAAAAAGTATTAAGGACTTCACAAACATTTGGTTATGTAAGTTATATCCATTAATATTTATTGTATTAGAAATTAAAAGTGAGAACATTTAAAAATATTTGTTTACTTTTAAATAACAAATCTATTGTGTCAATATAAATAACAATTTTTAAAAAATGACCACATTTCCAAAACAAAAAAAAATTAGTGAAAAGAGTGAGTCTGTTGCATTTCTTATGAATATTTTAAATTCTGGCTTAATGGAAGACAGATGGATTCTCATATTTGCTCCCCATGTGCCAGCCATGGAAACAATTGCATCACATCAGTTCGTTTCTGGAGAACTCCACTGTATCCTTGTGAAAGAATGAGAGTGAAAAAGGCAGTAATGTCTTCATAATGACTATGAAAATATTTGTGACCTCACAGACACACCCAGACCACACTTTAAGAAAACAGACCTAGAGTTAATAAAAAGCAAAACTAAGAGCAGAATAAGACTGATTTGGGGATGTTGAAGAAATTGATCAGTCAAGATAAAACAAAAAATTTTACTGTTTTTTAAAAGAAAGCTTAAGAAAGAAACATCTACTGTGATAAACTTCTGTATAGTTACTCTAATTCATTCAGTATACCAATTTAAAATTTGTCATGATTTAGTTAGCAGCTAAACTTAAGGTCATCGTTGCTTAGGTTACTGGTTCTCAAAGTGTGATCCATGGACCAGCAGCATCAGCGAGGCCTAGGATCTTGTTACAAATGCACATTCTCAGGCCCCACCACACACCTACTGAATCAGAAACTCTGGGGTGGGCCCAACAATCTGCATTTTCACCTGATGTTGATGAAAGCTAAAGTTTGAGAACCAGTGGCTTAGATAATCCTTCCTTCTTTCTGGAGAAAAGATTACAGAGAAAAAATTTTTTAAACAGAGAAAATGTTTTCCTAAGAATCATTAAAAATAGTAGAATCAGCCCTGGTCGGTTTGGCTCAGTGGTTAGAGCGTTGGCCTGCGGACCAGAGAGTCCTGGGTTTGGTTCCTGCTAAGGGCATGTACCTCGGTTGCAGTTTGTCCCCACCCGTTGGGGTCGTGTGGGTGTGTGTCTCTCTCACATTGGTGTTTCTCTCTCTCTCTTCCCCACTCTCTCCTTCCCACTCTACCTGAAGATAAATGCAAAAATGTCCTCAGGATTAAAAAAATAAATAAACAATACACATGTGTACTGACTACAGATTCATGAAAGAGTCCACTCAGGTCATCTTCAAGGCAACATATCAGCTCAGTTCAAGTTATAACAAAAATAAAAATAAACATATACATTTTTTCTTGTTTAGATTAGTCTTCTTTCTTTTTTTTTATCCTCACCCGAGGACGTTTTTCCATTTTTTTTGTTCAGATACAGTGGGAGGGCAAGAGAAGAAGAGAGAGAGAGAAACATCGACGTGAAAGGGACACATCGAGTAGCGGCTGCCACCCACACAACCAACCAGGGCCAAGGACAAAATGAAACCAAGGTATATGCCTTTAGCGGGAACCGAACCCAGGTCTCTCTGGGCCACAGGCCGATGCTCCAAGCGCTGAGCCAAACCGGCCAGAGCAGATTAGCCTTCTTTCTAAGTAGTCAGATTTAATAAGATTTGTACTATAAATATTTTAAGGCAGGCCTATAAAACTGAAATAGACATGCCCTACCTTGTGGAATTATCACTTCCAGGTCATGCTTCCAGGTTCGTGACTGTCAAAAAACCCATTTTAATTGCACCGTATACCAAATTATAGCCCCTCCAAAAATATTGATATGAGGCTCCCATGCTGTTTTAACTGATGTTAACTGGACTTACTGTGGTGATCATTTTGTAATGTACACAATATTGAATCATTATGTTGTACACCTGAAACTAATATAATGTTCTGTATCGACTGTATCTCACTAAAAATGTTTATACTTTTACAAAATTAATGTGATATAATATAGGTTTATTTTACCATGTAAAACAAATATGCAGCCCTGGCCAGTTTGGCTCAGCGGTTAGAGCGTCCACCTGCGGTCTGGAGAGACCCGGGTTCAGTTCCCGCTAAGGGCATGTACCTCGGTTGCAGTTTGTCCCCGGCCCTGGTTGGTCATGCGGGTGGCAGCCACTCGATGTGTCCCTTTCACATCGATGTTTCCCTCTCTCTCTCTTCCTCTCTCTCCCTCCCACTCTGTCTGTACAAAAAATGGAAAAATGTCCTCGAATGAGGATTAAAATAAATAAATAAATAAATAAATAAATAAATAAATAAATAAATAAATAAAATAAAAAAATAAAACAAATATGCAATTATATTATTTACTTTTATTGTTGAATAGGCAGACATGGTATGAAAAGACTGAGATCCCCACATAGAAAAATCCTTTCTCAAAGGATGCTTCAGTTGACTGGTCAGAGGTATCCACAAAAATTACCATGGTAATTTTCATCTTTACCAAAATAATTACAAGAGGCCAGAAATGGCTGTTCTTTAATGTGACTACCCAACAACCAAAGAAACTTCTCCAAACCTGTAGTGCATTTTCCATTCTATCTCTCTTTTTTGGTTAATAATTCTTTCTGCAAAAAAAAATCTGTGTAAGTGTCATGCCTAAATATGCATCGCCAGGCTATTAGAAACTCCTGAAATTCTGCATTAGAAATTTTGAATGTGACAGTACCTTTGTGACATCTGACTTCATTACTTCCTCTAAGTGCTCCTTTAACTGAGCTAGCTCAAATTTAGGGACATAATTTTGCTCCTCACTCCTTGCAACCTGCTGCTGACGTTTCGTATTTTTGTTTTTTACTTCGTTGATCTGCTGCTGAAGTTTTGTATTCTTAGCCCTTTCACTTTCAGATACAAACTGCACATTTTTAAATTGAGCTACCAATTTCTCAAGTCTACATTTCAGTTTCTGTCTTTCTTCCAGGTTTTCCTTTTCACGTTTCTGAAATTCTTCCTGTAAAGACAGAAACTCTTGTTCTCGGGTCTCTTTTTCCCTTTTCAGTAAGTCCAAAGCAGAAGTGGTGGTGTTTTCCAAGTCTCCTTTGAGTTGCTGCAGCCTCTCTACCTCTTCTTCTTTCTTGCTTAAGGCTTTGCCCATCTCTATGTTCTGACAAACAGTTTTGTTTTTTTCTTGCATTTCAGTCATGTACCTTTCCTGTAGACAAACATAATTTCCCTTGATCCTCTTCAGCTCTACCTGTAAGGTTTCCTTTTCGTTCCTAGATTCCTGAAGATGTTTTTGGGTGTTAGTTAAAATGTCATGCAAATTCTGCAATGTCTTGTCGGTTTCATTCTTCTCTAGCATTACTCTGTATTTGTCTTCAATTAATGCTTCGATATTTCCCTTTAGCTTATCTATGATATCAACAAACACTTGCTGCTTGTTAGTCTTCACCTGTAGTTCTTCAACCTTCTTCTTTAAATACATGTTAGTACACTGCAGATTTTGGATCAGAATTTGCTGCTTTTTGTTAGTATGTTTTAATTTCTGTAAGATTTCATTTAAAGCCATATCCTCTTCCAGAGGTTGTAAGTTTCCCAAGTTTTGCTCTATGTCAGGTGCCTTGCAGTCCTCCCAAGATGTTGCACCACTCCAAGAAATGCCTGCAGGAGAATGAGTTGACACAATATCTGGACTCTCCATGTCCTCCACTGCGACTTCCTCTTGGTGATTGACTGACATCTCAGGAATCTCCCCAGAATTCTGTGTCGCTTTTGAAGAAACTGAAACCTGTAAATTATAGTAAATAAGTGTGAAAGAGTAGGATTACCTTGAACTTTGAAGTCTGAGGGGACCTTGAATTGCAGATTCTTAGTTTGTTTTCCTTAGCTATAAAATAACAGCTGTAATATCTACTTCCAATGACACCTACTTAATAAAAATAGATAAGTATTCATTTCTAAATGTATGTATAGTACCTAAATATGTATCACATTTACTTTTACAAAAGAAAAATTAAACTTTGATACTCTCACCATTTTCTTTTATGCAAACTTTTCTGGACACATATGACACACTTTCTTTGACTTCACATGACTTAAAACAAATTTATCAATTACCCTACAGTCTGTGAGGCCTCCTTTAAATACTTTTTTATTCCTCATTAAACTATTACTTTATTGTGCAATGACTCTTGTGAACATCAGAATGCCAGATAAACGTCTTGTGATTGATTTCTGCCCACAGGTTTTGGGGGGTTCAAGAAAGGACAGTAAGTTGTATGCCATAAAAACCCAGGAAAAGATATCTGAAGTGGACTGCATAACTTTCTAGAATTTAGATATTGGACCTCTGTATTTCTCTTTTTATTGATTTTTAGAGAGAGAGGAAGGGAGAGGGAGAAAGAGAAACATCAATGTGAGAGCCATAAATTGATTGGCTGCCTCCTGGGGATCAAGCTTGAAAACTTTTGGTGCCCTGGACAACCCCCAACCAACCAAGCCACACCAGCCAGGGCAGACTCTGTATTTTTTTTTTTTTGTTAATCCTCACCCGAGGTTTTTTTCCATTGGTTTTTAGATAAAGTAGAAGGGAGGGTGGGTAGGGGGGGAGACAGAGAAAGAGAGAAACATCAATGTGTGAGACACATCGATTAGTTGCCTCCCACACAACCTCCACTAGGGCCGGGGATTGAACCTGCAACCCAGGTATGTTCCTTTGACCGGGAATCGAACCTGAGACCCTTTGGTCCTTGGGCCGACACTCTGCCACTGAGCAAAACTGCCAGGGCCAGACCTCTGTATTTTAATGTTTCGTCATTGTTCTGGGATAAAGACAACTATTCTTACTGAAGCCTACAAAAAGTCCTAATATCTGATCTTGATATGTGACCCAGGCTATCTCTCCATCCTCATCTACTTCATCCCTCTTACTCCCTCCAACCCAGCAACCCTGGACTTCCTTCAGGATCTAATAGGAACCGTGATCCCTGCAGCCACAGGTTTTTTCCACATTACTTCTGCATGAAATGCTCTCCCACCCCTGGTTACTAAATTAACTCCTACTCATCTTTCAGAGCTCAGTTCAATTCCCACTATACCAGCGACGCCTTCTCCAAACTCCCTGACCAGGGCAGTGAGACACCCATCTTACTTTTATTTGCACACTAACCATTGCTGAAGTATACATGCAATTTTACATATTATGTTATATAGATTTTACAGTTGTAAATGTTTACTTACATTTACTTTATATGTAACTTTTATTCATGATGCTTACCATAGTTGAAAACTTAATTTATTTGTGTGATTTTATTAATGTCTACCTCCTCTACTAGGATGTTATTTTCATGATAACAAAATCCACATCTTTTTTTTTGTGTGTGTAACCATTATAAAACCAACACACAACACAGGGCCTAGCCCATATTAGATCCTGAAAGAATTTATTGACTAAATGAATAAATGACTAAATGCAATGGAAATAGGAAGGAATAATCTTGGGAAGTCCTAATTAAACAGATTTCTAAAATGTTATTTTCCAGAAACAAACATAGGGAAACAGAGTACTCCTTTAAATGCTGCTTTCGAATAAATGAACAAAAAAACTGGCTATACTTGCACATTGAACATAAGAGTCATAGTTTTTCTCATCAAACTCACAATGAAAAGATATTGTTTATGCTATTCTTTTATTATTTCTACTTGCCCACACAAATTCTTAAATTTTATTTTGTTGTTCAGAGAACATAGAATTTATACTGTTAGCATCTTCAGTGCTCTTAGGACACTACATGCATGCTCAGGGTTAGTAAATCAAGAGAGAAATTAATGTTTTCACTTTGGTAACAAAATAATTTTTGCTTGTCAACAGACATCTCACATGATAGAAAAATCTTAAACTTTCCTTGTCAAATGCTTTAATACCTCTGTACTACTTGCTCTTTCCAACCTTTTTCTTAATGTAAACTGAGTTCCAGCCAATTTAATTCATCAAATGTAAAAGCTTCTTATAGTCAAAGCACCCTGTAGATGCTAAGGTGTATATAAGAAGTATGACAGAGCCCTGATCCTCAAAGAAATTATCACTGGCAGAGCTAATTTCCAAGTATGGACTTAATTTTATTAGAAAAATCTGTCTCTGTCCGGCTGGCATGGCTCACTGGTTGAGCATCGACCCATGTACCAAGAGGTCACTGGTTCGATTCCTGGTCAGGGCACATGCCCAGGTTATGGGCCAAATTCCCAGTGGGAGGCATGCAGAAGGTGGCCAATCGATGTTCTCTCTCATTGATGTTTCTCTCTCTCCCTCTCCCTTCCTCTCTCTCTAAAATCAATAAAGAAAAAATATTAAAAGAAAAAAAGAAAAAAATCTGTTTCTAAATTGATAAGGATCTAGAAAGGTATTTTCCCCTTGTGCTGATTAAATAAGTTATCACTACTTGGAAAAGTCTCAGATTATATACTTAAAAAAACAACAACCCAACAAATCCCTCAATATTCTACAGGATACTTAAAAAACAAACAAGATCTGGCTGGTTTGGCTCAGCGGTTAGAGCATCGGCCTGCGGTCCAGAGAGACCCGGGTTTGTTTCCCGCTAAGGGCACATACCTTGGTTGCAGTTTGTCCCCGGCCCTGGTTGGTCGTGCGGGTGGCAGCCACTCAATGTGTCCCTTTCACATCGATGTTTCTCTCTCTCTTCCTCTCTCTCCCTCCCATTCTATCTAAACAAAAAATGGAAAAATGTCCTCGGGTGAGGAAAACAAACAAACAAAAAACCAACACATCCCTCAATATTCTACAGGATACTTAAAAAAACAAACAAACAAAACCAACACATCCCTCAATATTCTACAGGATACTTAAAAAAACAAACAAAACCAACACATCCCTCAATATTCTACAGGCTGTACTGACCATAAAAAATCTTACCTCTTTTGTTTTATAATCAGCTCTCAGATCATACAGGTTAAAGCTATTCTCTTTATAAAATGGGTTTTCAATATTGCTGTGTACATATTCATTACACAAAAAGTTTTCAGGTTGACTAGAGTTGAGGGTAGATTCCTCGGCAGTATCTTTAGGCGGGGACATTTCCGTGAATTTCAGTGTCTCTATATTGCAGTGGATTACAGGCGGGCTTCTAGGTCGCCTGACACATTCATGAGCAAGTTGGTCTTCATTTGTGGAAGTGTTAGTTCCCACTGAATTTTCTTCCCTCAATGAATCTTCCTTTATATTGTTGTCTTTTGCATAATTATATACATGATTTTGCAATTCTGGCTTCTCTGTGTAAGGTAAGCCACCTGTCAGATTTTGAAATGTTATCATTTCATCATTAAATGCTTTTGTCTGGTGGTATTTGGAAATGGGTTCACATTGTCTGAAGGAAGAAATTCTGGTGTCAGTTGGCTGAGTTAGTACATCCTGTGAGTAATTTCCATTGTTGACATCTCATTAGAAAGAGATAGAAGAAAATAAGAATTAGCTGACCATAAATTTATGTTAACAGTTATATTAACATTTATGAAATACACTTTCGAACGTTTTTAAGAATTACATATATTTCAACCTTTTGCACTGAGTGGATTTTTGTTGTTAATCCTCACCCAAGGATAATTTTTCCATTAATTTTTAGAGAGAGTGGAAGTGGGGAGGAGGGGGGGAGGAGGGAGAGAGAGAGAGATGATGTGAGAGAGACATATCCATCAGTTGCCTCCATCATGTGCCCAGACTGCTGAGGATCTTGACTGGGAATGGAAACCACAACCCTTTGGTGCATGGGCTGATGTTCTAACCGCTGAGCCACACCGGCCAGAGCATACTGAATGGACTTTAGCATGGCTTTGTGCTAGCAAACAAAACAAAACAACTTTTTACATGGGGAAAAACGTTCTCAAATGACTGCTACGAAAAGCTTGTTCTATATTATTCTGGTCAAATGCCATTACAACAAAGTCCAAGATACCTTTGAGATTCTTTTGTTGTACTGTTAATTTTAAAATGTTTTAATTATAAAATGTTTCAAAAGAATACAAAAGTGCAGTGAACAGTATATAGCAAATAAACATACACTTGTTTAACCTCATAAAAAATCCCATGAAGTTAGTACTGATATTATCCTTGTTTTATAGATAACGAAACAAACATAAGAGATGTTAACACTTGCTTAAGATCACAGAGCTGGTAAGATTCTAGAATACTACTTCTATACAATATGCTATACAAAGATTTAAGACATTTTTAAAAATCAGAAGCAAATAAGGCAAAACAGAGTGTTACAAAATTAATGATCCTTCCCTTCTATCTATCTTTCTCCCTCCCCAGAGGGATGGAGATATATATATCTCCATATAAAACAGTATGTAACTTAAAATTTTTCTTTTCATACTTAGCCATGTAAATACATGCAGATCTAGTTCATTCTTTTTTATTTTTTTATCCTCACCCAAGGATATTTTTCCATTTTTTGTACAGATAGAATGGGAGGGAGAGACAGGAAGGGAGAGAGAGAGAGAAACATCGACGTGAAGGGACACATCGAGTGGCTGCCACCCGCATGACCAACCAGGGCCGGGGACAAACCGCAACCGAAGTACGTGCCCTTAGTGGGAACCAAACCCAGGTCTCTCCGGACCGCAGGCCGACGCTCTAAACGCCGAGCCAAACTGGCCAGGGCAGATCTATTTCATTCTACAGAAGAATTACACTTTATTTTTTTTGTTGGGCATATGTTTTTAATTTTGCTATTAAAAACAATACTATAGCCCTGGCTGGTTTGGCTCAGCAGTTGGAGCATTGGCCTGCAGACCAGAGAGTCCTGGGTTCGGTTCTCACTAGGGGCACTTACCAAAAAAATAAAATAAAATAAAAATAAAAACAACACTACAGTGAAAATCGTAATACACATTTAAAAAAAAAAATAAAACTTTTTTCCTTTATTTATTTTAGAGAGATAGAAACATCAATGAGAGAGAACACTGATTGGCCGCCTTCTGCATGCCCCCCACTGGGGATCGGGCCCACAAGCGGCATGTGCCCTGACTGGGAATCAAACAGACAACCTCTTGGTGCATGGGTGGACGTTTAACCACTGAGCCACAATGGCTGGACTAATACACATTTTCTTATATACTAATGTAAGAATTTTTATTTAGGCTCTGGGTATATACCTGGAAGTGGAATTGCTGGATTATAGAAAATATATATCTTCAACTTTACTGGATACTGCAAAATTAGTCTTTATAGTGATTATACCAATTTATACTTCTACTAGTAGTATATACTTCACTCTATATCCCTCTAACATGTCAAACTGATACGTATGAAATGGCATTTTTGTGATCTTTTTAATATACATCTTTTTAGTTATTTAATGGTCATGTAGGTTTCCTTTTCTGTGATCTGCCTCTTAGATGCTGTTAGGTACTGAATTGTGTGACTCCTCAAAATTCACATGTTGAAGGCTTAATCCCCAGTACCTTGGAATGTCATATATTTGGAGGTGGGGCTTTTAAGGAGGTGATTAAGGTTAGATGAGGTCATATGGTGGGGCTCTAATACAGTATGATGTCCCTATGAGAGACACCAGGGAGGCACAGAGTAAAGGTCATGAGAGAACACAAGAAGATGGCCATCTGAGAGGTGTCAGGAGAAACCAACTCTGCAGGCACTTGATCTTGGACTGCCAGCTTCCAGAACTGTGAGAATATAAATTTGAATTGCTGAAACCACCCAGTCTGTGGTATTTTGTTATGGCAGCTCTAGCAAACTAATACATATATGCTGCCTGTTTTTCTATTGAATTATATGTGTTGCTTTCTGATTGGAGTTCTTTATTTTGGATATCAATCCTTTGTCAATTGTATACATAACATGTATCTTAGATTGTGGTTTGTTTTTTCACTTTGTTGATTATAATTTGGACACACACATTTTAAAAATTTTAACACATAATCAAATGTGTTGATTATGGTTTGCATTTCTTGTGTTACTCCTTGAGCCTCACTATTCTCAACTTTAAAATGAGGATTAAAAACAGCCCTTATTTACAAAAAAAAAAAAAAAGCCCTATTTCATGGGCTTGTTTATGGATTAAATGTGATAATGTATATAAAATGCTCAGCACAGTACCTAGCTCTTATTATTATTACTATTACAGAACACACAAAGAATCTTAGTCCAACAAAGAGATACTCACCACCTAACAAATCATCTAGTGTGCTATAAATTTCTTCAGAAAGTATGAGTTTAGACTCATTTTCCTTTTTTACATTCTTTATTTCATTCTGTATTAATAATAAAAAGGCATTAATATTAACACTTCAAACATCATAAGCCTCTCCTAAAGGTATACATACACTGCTATATAATTTTTGTTCGTAGTTTTTGTTGCACATGTAGAATGTGCTTTCTAGTATCTTTCCTCACTGTATATTTGAGCTCTTTTTTAGTAAACTCATGTTAATAAAGTCATAATTAAATGAGAGTTAAATAATTATCTTGCTGTTTTATTTTTTTCTTTATTGATTTTAGAGGGAAAGGAAGGGAGAGGGAGAGAAAGATAGAAACATTGATGAAAGAACATCAATTGGCTGCCTCCTGCATGTCCCTCACTGGGCATTTGGCCCATAATCTGGGCATGTGCCCTGACTGGGAATTGATCCAGCGACCTCTTGGTGCATGGGTCAGTGCTCAGCCACTGAGCCACAATGGCCGCACATTACTATTTTAATACTTTGTTTTTTTGGTAAGTCAAATCATGTTCCTATAAACACAGGGTATATGATAACCTATATATCTCTTACTGATAATTCTTGGATGTTTGTTAAATCTGGTCTATTCAATATTAGGGTAGTTGTTATTCAAGTTTTTTTTTTTTTTTTTATCCTCACCCGAGGACATTTTTCCTTTTTTTTCTTTGTACAGACAGAGTGGGAGGGAGAGAGAAGAGAGAGAGAGGAAAACATCGATGTGAAAGGGACACATCGAGTGGCTGCCACCCGCACGACCAACCAGGGCCAGGGACAAACTGCAACTGAGGTACATGCCCTTAGCGGGAACCGAACCCGGGTCTCTCCAGACCGCAGGCCGACGCTCTAACCGCTGAGCCAAACTGGCCAGGGCAAAACTGAGTTATATATATATATATATTTTTTTTTTAATCCTCACCCGAGGACATTTTTCCATCCTTTGTTCAGGCAGAGTAGGAGGGGGAGAGAGGAACAGAGAGAGAGAGAAACATCGACGTGAAGGGACACATCGAGTGGCTGCCACCCGCACGACTGACCAGAGCCGGGGACAAACTGCAACCGAGGTACATGCCCTCAGCGGGAACCGAACCCGGGTCTCTTGGGACCGCAGGCCGACACTCTAACCGCTGAGCCAAACCGGCCAGGGCTGAGTTATATTTTATAACTATCTTTTTTTTGGACTTGTTGCTAATTCAGATCATTTCTCCTACTTACATTTTTTAAGTATTAGGAATAATATAATTGAAAAATAAAATAGCACTACTCACATGTATTGACACAAACTTCTTAGGACTCGACTACGCATTAAATTTCAGAGATTACTTCTAACTCTTGTCTTACATGATTTTACTGTTTTTAGCTAAAATAAGCCTTTTGTTCTTTTAGTCTATAAAGAATAAAATGGTTGGTGAAATCCAAGAGGGAGGACTTCCTTACATAATTTAAGGCATTCATTCTTTACAAGTCAGTACATAGTAACTTGGATCCTGATTGATACCATAATACTAGGACCACATTGTTTTTTCCCCCAAAATGAAAATAGACCAGATGTCAGGTTCCTTGTGTTCTTGTCCTGACTCTATCACTGAGTTTTTGTAGCCCTTTCCCTTGGCTATACTCATAAGACTTTATGAAGAGGGTAGAAAGGATCAGTGTTAACACTCTATTTGTAAATTCTACCTTTCTCGAAAACCAGTTACACTATTCCGCTCCTCTATGCTTCCACTGGAGATTCATTTATTGTTCCTCATATAAATATATATTTTTTATCCTCACTCGAGGACATTTTTCCATTTTTTGTTCAGATAGAGTGGGAGGGAGAGGGGGAGGGAGGGAGGGAGGGAGAGGGAGAGGGAGAGGAAGGGAGAGAGAGAGAGAGAGAGAGAGAGAGAGAGAGAGAGAGACATCAACGTGAAAGGGACACATGGAGTGGCTGCCTCCCGCATGACCCAACCAGAGCCGGGGATAAACTGCAACCGAGGTATGTGCCCTTAGCAGGAACCGAACCGGGGTCTCTCTGGACCACAGGCCGACGCTCTAACCGCTCAGCTAAACCGGCCAGGCCTGTTCCTCATATTTTTAAATAAATTTTCATATGGAACACAATGTGAATGCTAAATACATCTGTACCGCCCAAAACTCATACTCAGTACACACCTGAGGAAAGTTTGAAGTAGTACTGATGGTTTCCATAGAGTAGGGAGAATCTGAGTGAGTTAAGTTTTGAGAAAGCCTGCTGAAATTCATGGCATTCGCTTTTGACATGGTTTCTAATTTTTCTTGAGAAGCATCTACTTCAAAATATATAGGATCTGAAGGTGATGACCAAACTTCTTGATTGTTCTTGTTCCTACCTGTTGAATAATGGAAGTCTTCTTTAAAAAAACATAATTTTAAGGTATTTTAGCATACGCAAACAAAAAGCTTTTTTCCCCAATCCCTATGCACATTAAGAAAGCAGGAAAATTCATTGCCCTACATTTTAAAATGTCGTTTGTCAAGTTATTGCAAAAATAAAAATTTTTGGTTCAAGTACATCATGGTAATGTTGTCTGGTAGTAAATACTAATTTGAATAAAAGAAAATTACCTAAAAGACTTGGGACCCAGAGGGTGAAGGGATCGCTAAATTATTTAACCAAAAGGTATTCACAAAATATTATCAGAAACCTATTAGATTCCACCAAACACTGTATTTCTTGATAATTGCTATTTGAATATATCTGTATAAAGTCAAATCTAACATTGTAAACCAATTTTCCCTCATTTCCGTGTGCCACACTTATTCTCTCAGGCTCTTGGGATTTGAAAACTTGGCATCCTTCATCTGGCCAGTGTGGCTCAGTGGTTGAGCGTTGACCCATGCACCAAGAGGTTGCTGATTCAATTCCCTATCAGGACACATGCCCAGGTTGTGGGCCAAATCCCCAGTGGGGGGCATGTGGGAGGAGGCCAATCAATGTTCTCTCACATCAATGTTTCTATCTCTCTCTCCTTCTCCCTTCTTCTCTAAAATCAATAAAGAAAACTTAAATAAAAGAAAACTTGGCATCCTTCTACCTCATTGTCCATGGGCTATTCAGTTAATAAGTCTTGTCCATTTATCCTTTAAAAATGATTTTCATAACTAATGCTTTCTTTCCATCCCTTAGGTCACCACATGGGTCCATATTCTTGTGATTCCTCAGCTCTTTTAGGGAATGGGGGTGGAAAGGATGTCATCACACTGACTTCAAATTCTTCTGCTTGACTCTCTAGGTCTTCCACAGCCTGAACCCACTTGACCTAGCCTGTACTCCTCTGCTCTAGTAAGATCAGGCTCACTTCCCTGCAAATAGGTCATGCTCTGACAAGTGTTTCTCTCTGCTAAAATCTTCCTATCTACACATTTACCTATTTTTCAAATTCCTACAAAATCTTTAGTCTAAATCTCTTTCTCTCAATTCAGTACCTATTCATTTTACCTCTTTAGTCTTAACCATTGTTTTAAGGGTGTTAGTGTTTGCACTTACTTCCAGATTATACATACTTCCAGAGGAGTCCATTTATGGTTTTTCAATACCCACTACAGCAAACGGATCAGTGTTGTCCAGAGTCAATATTTTTAATAAACCCTGCATTCCAAATATTTATTTCTATTAAACCTTCTCCATCTACAGTCACTACCCATTTGTCTGGAGTATTTTAGTGAATTATAAAATTAATAAATAATTTATTGAGAATTAATTTTTTTCAAACTTAAATTTTTTTTTTTTCTTTAGAGATTTTAGAGAGAGGAAGGCAGAGTATACTTATACTTTGGTTAAGTATAAAAATGCCACTGAGCCCTGGCCGGTTTGGCTCAGCGGTTGGAGTGTCGGCCTGCGGTACAGAGAGACCCGGGTTCGGTTCCCGCTAAGGGCACGTACCTCGGTTGCAGTTTGTCCCTGGCCCTGGTTGGTCGTGCAGGTGGCAGCCACTCGATGTGTCCCTTCACATCGATGTTTCTCTCTCTCTCTCTTCCTCTCTCTCCCTCCCGTTCTATCTGAACAAAAAATGGAAAAATGTCCTCGGGTGAGAATAAAAAAAAAAAAAAATGCCACTGAGCCTAGCAGGCTAGTCAGGATTGGTGAATGGTCCAATCCTATGCTCGCCTTTTCCCTATTTCCAGACACACAAATGTTGCCTAGGTTGTGGTGAAGGGGTTTGAAAAATTCCTTTTGTTTTCCAAGTGCAAAAAACGCAAGGGCCTTGTCTTAAATCTGTGAACCCAAAACTTCCAATTAATTACACGTTTACAACTTTGTTCTTACGGCATAACTTGCCAATTTCTTTTAAGTTAGGCTTACTTTTTCCCTTTCATTCTGACCTTATCCGATTTATGTTAAACTTTTAAAATATTTACTCAAATGTTTCCATAGATATTCCAGGCACACTCTAAAGCCCTTTTTGGACGGGCGTTGAAAGACGTGCCACTGGCCGGCCGCCCCGCCCCGCCTGCCTCCCGGGCGGCTGCCGAGACCTCGCGGCGCTGGGGGGCGGGGTCCGCACGAACTCAGGAGTGAGTTCTGCCGGAAAAAGAGGTGTCAGTGGACTTACTAGTCAAAACTCTAAGGTTTTGTTTATAAGATCTTTTCAGTCGTACGACAAACTAGCTTTCTAAAAGCACTTGACTCATTTTAACCTCAAAATAATACAGCAAACTCTTTAATTCCAAAAGCGTGCTCACTTCCAGGGTCCATACAGCTGCTTACGTTCACAGTAAGGACTTCGTGCTTCCACCCTCCCGCACTCGGTTCTGCGGGAGGGAGAACACTTCAACCTTTCCCACGGTGGCTGTTAAAAACTCGCAGTTTGGATGGAAGCGCGATGCAACGTTCCCGTGTGACGTCCTCCCGCCGCGCCGGCCAACCTCGGCGGGGACGGCGCGCGCCAGGCTCCGCGCACCCGGACGCGGCCAGGGGGCCTTCGAGGTCCGTTACAGAGGGGAAGTACTGTGGCTGTGAGCCCCCAGGCCGAACAACCTATGGCCCGGCTGGCGCGTCCTTCTACGGGAGGAAACACAAAGCAGAGTGCAGAAACGAAAAGCTCCGGGTGGAACGGCGAGCCCAAGCTCAGCGAAGACGGCGACTCAACTTAGCTCGACACTTGAGTGTGTTCCCTTCAAGCACCGTTGAGCGCAAGCTCCAGGCTTTCATCCGGGGCGCAGGGCGGGACTTCCGGTAGAACACGTTTCCGGCAGGGCGGGGCTTCCGTTGGAGCAGGGGCCGCAGTTCCAGGGCTGTTGGTCTTAATTCCTTAAAGCACGTGGCGCGCGCTGTCGGCGTAGGGACTGCAGAGCTGTTTGCGAGGCGGGCGTCCGCGGACGGGCCGTGAAGTTGAACCGTCGGCGTGGTTCCCGGCCCAGCTCAGGGCGAGCGACCGCCGGCGGCGCTGACGCTCTGCGCGTTCCGTCATGGACTACCGGCGGCTGCTGATGAGTCGGGTAGTCCCGGGGCAGTTCGACGACGCCGACTCCTCCGACAGGTAGAAGGCGGTTGAGGACACCCACTCCGTTGGGGTTTTGCTCTCTGCCGCCGCCGATCCCTGGGGGCGTTAACACCGGTTTAGAGGGAGACTGGTAGTTCATCTCTCTGGGGCCCTCCTCACAGCCTCTCGCGTCGTCCTCCATCCCGGCGGCGATTTTGTGCCGGTTTAAGGCAGAGTTCATGAGAAGCCACTTGTACCAGGTTCTGTCCTCAACCCTGGGGAAAGTGATGAACAAGACAAAGTCCCTAAGTGTCACTGAATTTTACCCTGTGCTTGAGAGGGCGCAGACAGTTAAGTACAAGGAGGTATTTTAAAAACAACAGAACAGATAGTATATACTTTGCAAACAATTTAAATCAGTTGGTAGACTAAGCTATGATTTGGTCAGGGAGGGGCTAAGTCCATATCTGACCGACAAGAATGGGAAGAGGAGCGAGAACAACCATTCAGGAAGAAGGGACTGCAGCAAGTGCAGAGTCGCTGTGGTGGGATCCCTCCTGGCTGTGAAAGGAGGATCTAGAGGCCTTGTGCCTGGAGCACAGCACAGGATGTTGAGAAGATCGGTAGGTAGGTACCCAAAGATACAGAAGTGAGAAGGGGCCAGATCATGTGGAGCCTTACAAGTGATGGTAAGGAGTTGAGATAGTCTACGTCTTAGAGAGCCATAGGAGGGATTTTAACAGGGGAATGACATCTGATTTACGATTTAAAGGAATCACTCTGCTGTGGAGAAGATGGTTTTGGAAGGCAGAGTGGAAGCAGTACAAAAGTAATAAAGTAATTCAGTTCAGAGATGATGGACATGAGAGGTAGGGTCATAGGGTTATGTTTTGGAGGTAGAAGTGACAGTTTGGTGGTAGATTGGATGTGGGATATGAGGCAGAAGGAATTGAAGATAACTTACATAAAAGCAAAATGAAACAATTACTTCAGAATTTCAAGAAAATGGGTTTTACTTTACAGTAAGGCTTTATTGCATGTAAATTTTATTAATTGTAGATTTTTCAGTAAATATATGTTGATCTCTTTCTATGTGTCAGATCTAGTGTTGGTAGGGATACATTGGTAAACACCACTCTGAAAGAACTTGCACTCTAGCAGGGAAAACATTATTATTATTATTTTTATTGTTGAAAGTATTATAGATGCCCCCCCTTGGGGAAAACATATTAAATAATTAGATGATTTGTATTAAAATTGGGTAAGTAGTACAAAGGAGAAATAGGTAAAGAATAGGAAAGCTTTCCCTGAGCAAGTAATAGTAAACTATTACTGGAAGGATAAGTAGGATTTAGCCAGAGAAATAAGGAGGACATTCCAGATTTATGTTTACCCATGAGCATACAAAAGGCCTAAGGGAAGAAGAAACACAATCAGTGTGGCTGTTGAATGGTTAATGGTAGTGAGTGTGCACTGGTTTACCATCATCACTGGGTATTATAAAGATAATCCAGTGGATTCTGTCCCCCACCCCAACCCCAAATTTAGGCAATTTCAGAGACATTTTGTTCATCACAACTGGGGATGGTGCTACACTAGTGGCATCTGGTAGGTAGAGGCCAGAGATTCTCCAACAATCCAATGAGGCAGAAGGCAACTGCCCACAACAAAGAATTGGCCAGCCGAGATTGAGAAGCCCTGGTACTATAGAAGGTATAACTTTAATATGCCACTCTAGGTTATAAGCAAATGAAGCATCAATTTATGGGTTATGTTGATAAAATTCTAGTAAATAGTAGGTGTTTAATAATGATTTGTTCCATGGAGATTTGGAGCCCTGTAAACCACGGCTAATAAATAAGTCAGGATTGATCATCTGAATTTACTTAAACTCACATCTGACTTCTTAAGCTGGTAGTGCATGTTATTAATTGTTTTATATGTTTTCGGTCCTCATTCTTAGTAGTACCTCTGTTGAATCTGATTTGCAGACATATTGTTTGGTACACACAATATTTTGATAAAATTGAATATGCCAGTTAAGTGGAAGATTTTACACAAAAATCCATATTCCTGGCTTCTTTTGAAAAATTAAGAAGATACGGTAACAATTGGTCTGAATACTCATGTGGCAAAAACAAACCCTATTAGTTGTGCTTTCACTACTCTGAGCATGTTCTCTGGGTTTGACAATCCCTACTTCTGTTTAATTATATCCAGCCTACTTTCTTATTTGTGGTGCTTATATTCACCATTCCTTCCCTTCATGAACAAAGGTGATTTGAAGTTCTTTGTGTAACACAAATCTTGAATACAGCTTCTTTTGTTGCAAAGTAGTATTGAATTCAAGGTAAAGCTGCTTTAGACTTATTCTCAAGTTTTGTCAGAAAGCTTTTTTTTACCCTCTCTTAAAGCAGCTCTGAATAGTTTTTCTAGTCAGGACTGGAGTATTGATCAGAGCTGGTTCATTCATCAGAGAAAATAGCAATATAAATTCTAACTTGGGTAGAGATGGGTTTAATACCTGATGTACTTTTTTAGTAGGACCTAGAGAATATGCAAACAACTGGAACAGAACTCTGAAAAACAGGAGAACATAGCAGATTAATTTTGTTGGTGATATGTTGTAAGGGAACCTTCCGATTTTATTGGTATATATTTAGTCTATTGTATTGTAAATAAATACATATGTAAGTCTAATTAGAATATGTGTAAACATGCTAAAATATTGTTACTTCTAGTGAAAAAATGGACTTGAAGACAATCAAAGAGGAAGATGGCATTCTGTTTGAAGACTTTCAAAATAATGTGAATGAGAAGATATATGAAGGTGAGATAGAAGATGAGGAGGAAGATTATGATGATGACGATGATTGGGACTGGGATGATGGAGTTGGAAAACTCACCAAGTGTTATATCTCAAATGGAGGGCGTAACCCACAGGTATTTGATAAATGATTCTATACATCTTTATGTTGTTTGCTTATATTTATTTATTTATTTTTATTTATTTTTGAGAGTCTACTTTTTTAAATTGAATTTATTGGGGTGACTGTGGTTAATAGAATTATATAGGTTTATAGGTTTCAGGTGTGCAGTTCTAGAATACATCATCTGTATATTATATTGTGTGCTCATCACCCCAAGTCATGTCTTCTTCCATTACCATTTATTACCCTTTTACCCTCTTCTACCTCCCCTGTCCCCCTTTCCCTCTGGTGACCATACTGTTGTCTGTGTCTGTGAATTATTTTTCCTTTGCTTAATCCCTTCACCTTTTTCATCCAGCCCTACAACCTCCCTCCCTTCTGATAGGTTTCAGTCTGTTCTCTGTATCTATGAGTCTGTTTCTATTTTGTTTCTTAGTTCATTTTATTCATTAGATTCCACATATAAGTGAAATCATATGGTACTTATCTTTCTCTGACTGGCTATTTCACTTAGCATAATACTCTCCAGGTCTATCCATGTGGTCACAAAAGATAAGATTTCCTTCTTTTTTATGGCTGAGTAGTATTCTCTTGTGTGAATGAACCACAGCTTTTTTATCCATGTATCTACTGATGGGCACTTGGGCTGCTTCCAAATATTGGCTTTTTAAAATAACGCTGCAGTGAACATAGGGGTGCATGTATATTTTTTTTCAATTAGTGTTTCAGGTTTCTTCGGATATATTCCTAGAAGTGGGAATTCCTTAAGCTGGGTCTTAAGGCAGTTCCATTTTTAATTTTTTAAGGAAACTCCATACTGTTTTCCACAGTGGTTGCACCAATCTGCATTCCCACCAACAGTGCACTTGGGTTCCCTTTTCTCCACATCATCGCCAACACTTTTTTGATTTATTGATGATAGCCATTCTGACAGGTGTGAGGTGATATCTCATTGTGGTTTTAATTTGCAGTTCTCTGATGATTAGTGATGTTGAGTATCTTTTCATATGTCTATTGGCCATCTGTATGTCCTCTTTGGAGAAGTGTCTATTGAGATTCTTTGCCCATTTTTTAATTGGATTGTTCTTTTGGTGTTGAGTTTTAGAAGTTCTTTGTAAATTTTGGGTATTAACCCCTTATCAGATGTATCATGGGCAAATAATGTTGTTCTCTTCAGTGGTTTATCTTTTCGTTTTGTTGATGGTTTCCTTTGCTATGCAAAAATTTTTTGCTTGATATAGTCCCATTTGTTTATTTTTTTCTTTTATTTCCCTTGCCCTAGGAGATGTATCAGAAAAAATATTGCTATGAGAAGTTTTCAAGATTGTACTGCCTCTGTTTCTTCTAGGATATTTATTATTTTGAGTCTTACATTTAAGTCTATTCCATTTTGAGCTTGTTCTTGTGTGTGGTGTAGGAAGGTGGTTTAGTTTCATTTTTTGCACATTATTTGTCCAGTTTTCCAAACACCATTTATTAAAAGAGTTATCTTTACTCTATTGTATGTTCTTCCCTCCTTTGTCAAATATTAATTGATCATAAAGGTGTGGGTTTATTTCTAGGCTCCTTGTTCTATTCCATTGACCTATATGCCTGTTCTTATGCCAATAGCATGCTGTTTTGATTACTGTGGCCTTTTAGAATATTTTGATAACAGGTAGTTTGAGTCCTCCAATTTTGTTCTTCTTTTTCAAGATTGCTGTGGCTCTTCGAGGTCTTTTGTGGTTCCATATAAATTTTTGGAATATTTTTCTTGTTCTGTGAAATATGCACCATTGGTATTTTGATAGGAATTGTGTTGAATCTATAGATTGCTTTGAGTAGTACACACATTTTAATGATATTTTTTTCCTATACATGAACATGGTGTATGCTTCCACTTATTTGCATCTTCTTTAATTTCTTTCTTCTGTGTCTCATAATTTTCTGAGTACAGATCTTTACATACTCAGTTAAATTTATTCCAAGGTTTTTTTGTTGTTTGTTTTGTTCTGCTGCACTTGTAAGTGGGATTCTTTTCTTAGTTTCCTTTTCTGAGTCTTCGTTGTTGGTGCTTAAAAGTGCAGCTTATTTCTGTATATTTATTTTGTATCCTGCTACTTTACGGAATTCATTTATCAGTTCTAGTAGTTTTTTGGTGGAATCTTTAGGGTTCTCTATATACACTATCATGTCTTCTGCAAATAATGACAGTTTTACTTCTTCCTTTTTAATTTGGATGCCTTTTATCCTTCTTGTGTGGTTGCAGTGTCTAGGACTTCCTGTACTATGTTGAATAATATAGTTCCTGATCCTAAGGGAAATGCTTATAGTTTTTGCCTATTGAATATGATGTTGGCTGTGGGTTTATCATAGCCTTTATTATGCTGAGGTAAGTTCCCTCTATTCCCACTTTGCTGAGAATTTTTATCATAAATGGGTGCTGGATTTTATCAAATGCTTTTTCTGCATTTATTGATATCATGTGATTTTTTTTCTTTTTTTTTTTTCTTTTTTCCCTTTATTGATTTTAGAGAAGAAGTGAGAGGGAGAGAGGGATAGAAACATCGATGAGAGAGAACATCGATTGGCTGCCTCCTGCATGCTCCCCACTGGGGATCTGGCCCACAACCTGAGCATGTGTCCTGACCAGGAATCAAACCAGCTACCTCTTGGTTCATAGGTCAACGCTCAGCCACTGAGCCACATCAGCCAGTCTGATCATGTGATTTTTATCCTTCATTTTGTTTATGTGCTGTATCACATTTGTTGATTTGCAGATATTGTACCAATCTTGCATCCCTGTAATAAACTCCACTTGATTGTGGTAGGTGATGTTTTTCACGTATTGCTGGATCTGGTTTGCTAATATTTTGTTGAGGATTTTAGCATCTATGTTCATCAGGATTATTGGCCTATAAATTTCTTTCTTTGTATAGTATCTCTTTGTGGTTTTAGAATAGGATAATGCTAACCTCATAAAATGAGGTGATAGTCCTCTATCCTCTTGAAGTTTTTGGAATAGTTTGAGAAGGATAGATGTTCTTTGAATGTTTGGTAAAATTCTCCTGTGAAGCAATCTGGACCAGGACTTATTTCTTGGGAGTTTTTTTAATACTGCTTCAATTTCATTGGTTGTAATCTGCTTATTTAGATGTTCTGATTCTTCCTCATTCAATTTTGGAAGATTTTATGTTTCTAGGAATTTGTCTATTTCATCCAGGTTGTCCAATTTGTTGGCATATAGTTGTTTATAGTGTTTTCCTAACAATCCTTTGCATCTCTGGTGGCAGTTGTTACTTCTCTTTCATTTCTTTTTTTCTTGATAGGTCTGGTTGAAAGTTTGTCAATCATTTTTTTCTTTTTAGAGAACAAGCTCTTGGTTTCATGGATCTTTTGTATTTTTCAGTTTCTGTGTCATTTATTTCTTCTCTAATCTTTATTATTTTCTTCTTTCTATTTACTCTGGGCTTTGTTTGTTCTTTCTCTAGTTCTTATAGGTGTAAAGGTAGATTGTTTATTTGAAATTTTTCTTGCTTCTTGAGGGAGTGCTGTGAACTTCCCTCTCAGGGCTGCTTTAGCTGTGTCCCATTGATTTTAGGTTGTTGTATGTTCATTTTCATTTGTCTTAAGGTAACTTTTGATTTCTTCCTTGATCTCATTGTTAACCTATTCATTGTTTAGTAACATGTTGTGTAGCCTCCATGTCTTTGTTTGTTTTTCAGTTGGTTTTGTGTGTGTGTATGAGTGTGTGTGTGTGTGTGATTGATATCTAGTTTTATACCATTATGGTCAGAGAAGATGCTTAATATAATTTCAGTCGTCTTAAATTTATTGAGACTCGTGCCCTGGCCAGTTTGGCTCAGCGGTTAGAATGGTGGCCCCTGGACCAAAGAGTCATGGGTTCGAGTGTGGTCAAGGGCACATTCCTTGATTGTGGTTTGATCGCGGCCCTGCTTGGGGTCGTGCAGGAGGCATCCAGTCAGTGTGTTTCTCTCACATCCATGTTTCTCTCTCTCTTCCCCTCCCACTCTATCTGAAGATAAATGGAAAAGCATCCTCAGGTGAGGATTAAAACTTTTTTTTATTGAGACTTATTTTGGGTCCTAACATGTGGTGTGTCCTAGAAAATGTTCCATGTGCACTTGAAAAATAATGTATATTCTGCTGCTTTTGGTTGAAATACTTTGAAGGTATCAGTTAAATCCATCTGATTTAGTGTGTCATTTAAGGTGGCTGTTTCCTTGTTGATTTTCTATCTGGAAGATCTATTCTTTTATCTCAATGGGGTGTTAAAATCTCCTACCTGTCACTGTACTGTCAATCTCTCTCTTTATGTCCAATCTGCGTTTATGTCCAGGATTTGTTCTATATATTTAGATGCTCCTATGTTGGGTGCATAAATGTTTACAAGGGTTATATCCTTTTGTTGGATTGTTCCCTTTATCATTGTGTCCTTCTGTGTTGTCTTTGTTTTAAAGTCTATTTTGTTGTATATAAGTATTGCTACCCTTGCTTTTTAAAAAATTTTTATTTGCATACAATATCTTTTCCATCCCTTTACTTTTAGTCTGTGTGTATCTTTCATTACTGAGGTGGGTCTCTTGTAGACAGCATATATATGGGTGTTGTTTTCTTATCTCTTCACTTATTTTTTGTCTTTTGCTTGTAGCATTTAAGTAATTTACATTTAAAGTGATTATTGATAGGTATGTATTTATTGCCATTTTATTCTTTTAACTGTATTCTGTTTTTTTGTTTGTTTGATTTCTTCTTAAAGAAGATCCTTTAACATTTCTTGTAATACTAGTTTGGTGGTAAGAACTCTTTTAGCTTTTTCTTATCTGGGAAGCTATTTCTCCTTCAAATTTAAAGGATACTCTTGCTGGGTAAATTAGTCTTGGTTGTGGGTCCTTGCCTTTTTTTTTTAAATCCTCATCCAAGAACATTTTTGCATTTATCTTCAGATAGAATGGGAGGGAGAGAGGGAAGAAGAGAGAGAGAGAAACATCAATGTGAGAGAGACACATCAAC